TCATTGCTCAAACTGAATTGTAGCTTATTCATATATTGGTAACATTCATCAAATTTAATGAGTGTAGCAATTAACTTGCAGCAATTAATTCAATATGTCTAAATAATAATAATTCATTAAACAGAATAATATAACAATTTTGCATGATTTGCATAAGGAATTATTTGAAAATAATTTCTGTTGTACGAATACGAGAACGAGTACGCATAATTACCGTACATTGTCTATAAAGTTTTGTTGTAACATTGAAAAAATATTGTAAATTTTTTGCATTGCTATTTACTGTTATTCACGATTTAAAAAATTTTTGTTGCATTCACCATATTGAGTGGTGCTCGTGTCGGTTATCTTCATTTCTTGAACTTCGAATTTATTACTACATTTTTGGTTTATCATAACCAAACGTAACTGTAAATAAAGAAATTTAACATGAATCGGACTAGAAGAAAAATTGAACGCCCAAAGAATCCCTACTCAACCGGTAATATATTTTCGAGATGGAGTTTCTGGTGGATGAGAAAAATATTTCATAAGGGTTTGCAAGGACCACTTGAAGAGGAAGAGTTATATCAGCACCGTAAAGACTTAGATAGTGAACGAGTAACTACAAAGTTTTCGTAAAAACAAGACGGTGCAATAATCCGTTCGCGTAGTTTAACTGCTGTGTATTTTATTTTAGAAGATTTAGTGTTTCCAGCAGAGATCGTAGGCAAACGTATTCGTGCCAAATTTGATGGCACCCAAATTATAAAGGTGCATTTGGATAAGAATCTACAAACGACCATTGAGCACAAAGTAAGTGTTAAATAACACTTATTTCATTAAATCTTTTTTTGCACTTGTGTTTTTTGCTGTTTAAAATTAGTGGTCCAATGTTTCGTTTACGCTTCATTGCTCAAACTGAATTGTAGCTTATTCATATATTGGTAACATTCATCAAATTTAATGAGTGTAGCAATTAACTTGCAGCAATTAATTCAATATGTCTTAATAATAATAATTCATTAAACAGAATAATATAACAATTTTGCATGATTTGCATAAGGAATTATTTGAAAATAATTTCTGTTTGTAACGAATACAAAACAGTCCGTATTACCGTACATGTCTATAAAGTTTGTTGAAACAAAAAATATTACAATTTTGCATTGCATTTATGTTATTCACGATTAAAAAATTTGTTGCATTACCAATTATGGTGCCGTGTCGTTCCTCATTTCTTGAAACTTCGAATTATTATAATTTTGGTTTATGATAATCCAAACGTAACTGTAAATACAAGAAATAACAATGAACTCGGACTAGAAGAAAAATTGGAGCGCTCAAAGAATCCACTCAACCGCTATATTTTCGAGATGGAGTTTCTGGTGGATGAAAAAAATATTTCATAAGGGTTTGCAAGGACCACTTGAAGAGGAAGACTTATATCAGCACCGTAAAGACTTAGATAGTGAACGAGTAACTACAAAGTTTTCGTAAAAACAAGACTGTGCAATAATCCGTTCGCGTAGTTTAACTGCTGTGTATTTTATTTTAGAAGATTTAGTGTTTCCAGCAGAGATCGTAGGCAAACGTATTCGTGCCAAATTGGATGGCACCCAAATTATATATAAAGGTGCATTTGGATAAGAATCTACAAACGACCATTGAGCACAAAGTAAGTGTTAAATAACACTTATTTCATTAAATCTTTTTTTGCGCTTGTGTTTTTTGCTGTTTAAAATTAGTGGTCCAATGTTTCGTTTACGCTTCATTGCTCAAACTGAATTGTAGCTTATTCATATATTGGTAACATTCATCAAATTTAATGAGTGTAGCAATTAACTTGCAGCAATTAATTCAATATGTCTTAATAATAATAATTCATTAAACAGAATAATATAACAATTTTGCATGATTTGCATAAGGATAAGGAATTATTTGAAAATAATTTCTGTTGTACGAATACGAGAACGAGTACGCATAATTACCGTACATTGTCTATAAAGTTTTGTTGTAACATTGAAAAAATATTGTAAATTTTTTGCATTGTTATTTACTGTTATTCACGATTTAAGAAATTTTTGTTGCATTTACCATATTTGAGTGGTGCTCGTGTCGGTTATCTTCATTTCTTGAACTTCGAATTTATTACTACATTTTTGGTTTATCATAATCAAACGTAACTGTAAATAAAGAAATTTAACATCAATCGGACTAGAAGAAAAATTGAACGCCCAAAGAATCCCTACTCAACCGCTAATATATTTTCGAGATGGAGTTTCTGGTGGATGAGAAATATATTTCATAAGGGTTTGCAAGGACCACTTGAAGAGGAAGAGTTATATCAGCACCGTAAAGACTTAGATAGTGAACGAGTAACTACAAAGTTTTCGTAAAAACAAGACGGTGCAATAATCCGTTCGCGTAGTTTAACTGCTGTGTATTTTATTTTAGAAGATTTAGTGTTTTCAGCAGAGATCGTAGGCAAACGTATTCGTGCCAAATTGGATGGCACCCAAATTATAAAGGGCAATTTGATAAGCAAATCTACAAAGACCATGACACAAAGTAAGTGTTAAATAACACTTATTCATAAATCTTTTTTGCACTTGTTTTGCTGTTACAATTAGTGTCCCAATGTTTCGTTTCCGCTTCAATATTGGTAAACATTCAATCAAATTTAACTGATCTACAATTAAACTTGCAGCATATCCAATATGCTAAAAATCTAATCATTAAACAGAATAATATAACAATTTTCATGATTCAATAAGCAATTTTGAAAATATTCTGTTGTACGAATACGAGAACGAGTACCGTAATGTTTACCGCCATTGCTCCATAAAGTTGTTATAACATGAAAAATAATTGTAATTTTCATGCTATTTACTGTATTCGATTTAAAAACTTTTGTTGCATTTATCATATTGAGTGGTGCTCGTGTCGGTTATCTTCATTTCTTGAACTTCGAATTTATTACTACATTTTTGGTTTATCATAACCAAACGTAACTGTAAATAAAGAAATTTAACATGAATCGAACTAGAAGAAAAATTGAACGCCCAAAGAATCCCTACTCAACCGCTAATATATTTTCGTGATGGAGTTTCTGGTGGATGAGAAAAATATTTCATATGGGTTTGCAAGGACCACTTGAAGAGGAAGAGGAGTTATATCAGCATCGTAAAGACTTAGATAGTGAACGAGTAATTACAAAGTTTTCGTAAAAACAAGACGGTGCAATAATCCGTTCGCGTAGTTTAACTGCTGTGTATTTTATTTTAGAAGATTTAGTGTTTCCAGCAGAGATCGTAGGCAAACGTATTTGTGCCAAATTGGATGGCACCCAAATTATAAAGGTGCATTTGGATAAGAACTACAAACGACGCAGAGCACAAAGTAAGTGTTAAATAACACTTATTTCATTAAATCTTTTTTGCACTTGTGTTTTTTGCTGTTTAAAATTAGTGGTCCAATGTTTCGTTTACGCTTCATATATTGGTAACATTCATCAAATTTAATGAGTCTAGCAATTAACTTGCAGCAATTAATTCAATATGTCTATATAATAATAATTCATTAAACAGAATAATATAACAATTTTGCATGATTTGCATAAGGAATTATTTGAAAATAATTTCTGTTGTACGAATACGAGAACGAGTACGCGTAATTTTACCGTACATTGTCTATAAAGTTTTGTTATAACATTGAAAAAATATTGTAAATTTTTTGCATTGCTATTTACTGTTATTCACGATTTAAAAAATTTTTGTTGCATTCACCATATTGAGTGGTGCTCGTGTCGGTTATCTTCATTTCTTGAACTTCGAATTTATTACTACATTTTTGGTTTATCATAACCAAACGTAACTGTAAATAAAGAAATTTAACATGAATCGGACTAGAAGAAAAATTGAACGCCCAAAGAATCCCTACTCAACCGCTAATATATTTTCGAGATGGAGTTTCTGGTGGATGAAAAAAATATTTCATAAGGGTTTGCAAGGACCACTTGAAGAGG